GCCAGACCCAGCGAGGTGCCCAAGCTGCTGGGGGGTGCCCCCCAGCATGGTTCTCCCACCCCCCAACTAATTAAACCCCCATTTTCCAGCACTCCTCTCATTACCAGGTAGCTCAAGGCACTGGCCAACTGCTTGGCCACGGTGATTTTCCAGCCCACAGTGGTCCTGCCCTTCTCCTTCCTCAGCAGCACATCCAGAGGGCCGTGCTCCACAAACTCCTCCACCATGATATCTGAGGGGGGGTGTGTGGAAAAACAGGGAGAGAATTCAAGTTTTTTTGGGGGGCCAGGGAAAAGCCAAGGGCAGGAAAAGGAGGAAGAGGAGGAGGAAGAGGCTGGTACTCACTCTCAGAGCCTCTCACACAGACCCCATGGACAAAGGCCAAGTGGACGTGGGACACTTGGCTCATCAGGCTGGCGGTCTCAAAAAATGCCTGTGGGGAAGGGGAGGGGGGAATTTGTCTCTGGGAGTCATAAAATTTGGAGAGATCTCTGAGATCCCCCAATCCAACCATCCCCCCACGCTCCCAGGGCCTTTAAATCACAGCCCCAAGTGCCACGTCCACGTTTATTGGGGAATTTTGGAGGGATGGGGGCAGTCCAGCAACCTCCCTGGGCAACCTGGGCTAAGGTCTCATTGGTCTTTTAGTCAAAAAAATGTTCCTAAGATCCAAAAATCTCCCCTGGGGCAACTTGTGGCCTGTTCCTCTTGTCGTATCACCAGTAAAATGTTCCTAAGACCCAAAAATCTCCCCTGGGGCAACTTGAGGCTTGTTCCTCTTGTCCTATCACCAGTAATCTGGGAGAAGAGACCAGCCCAAGGTGGCTCCAAGCTCCTGGCAGAGCCAGAAGGTCTCCCCTGAACCTCCTTTGCTCCAGGCTGGACCCCCCCCAGATCCCTCAGCAGCTCCCCATGCCCCCCAGACCCCTCCTCCAGCTTCACAACCCTTCTCTGGACCCTCTCCAGCCCTTCAAGGTGCCCAAAACTAACCCCAAAACTCAAGCTGTGGCCTCCTCCACGCCGAGTCCACTTCCCCCCTCCTGCTGGCCACAGGATTTTGGATGCTGGTGGCCTTTTTGGCCACTTGAGCCCATCTTGCCTCATCTCCAACCACCTCTAACCAACCCCCCCAAGGTCCTTTTCTGCTTGGGCACTTTCCAGCCCCTCCTCCCCTTAGCTGGGAGTCGTTGTGACCTCACTGAACCGACCTCACCCCACGGATCCAACCCACCCAGATCCCTCAGCACCCAACTTTTGAGCAGATCAACACCCCTTGGAGCTCCCAAATCCCCCCAGGGCCTTTTTTCCCCCCTCCTCTCCTTCTTCTTCTTCCTCTCCTGGGGGCCAGGGCCTCACCAGGGCAATGTCTCTGTGGCTGGGATCCAGGACTTTGAGGACCACGTGGATCTCCCTGCTGTTGTTGTTCTGCTCAGTGGAGAAATATTCAGCTTCATCCTCAGGCCCAGGGGGGCCACAAACCTTCAGGACCCCCTCGTAGATGTTGGTGCGGGTGCCCTGCCCCAGGTGAGCTCTCTGCAGGTGGGTGAAGGTGGGTGGGGGGTCAGAAATCCCCCCAAGAAACTCTTCCCCCCCCCTGTTTTTTGGGTGGCAGGGAGGAAACTGCCTCCTGCCCAGCCTGTGCTGGCTCTGCCCAGCTCCTTCCCCCTCCCCTGCTTGAAAAAGGGAGGAATAAAACATGAAATTAAACCAAATTTAGAGGATCCCAGCAGATTTTGGGTGGGAAGGGACCTGGGAAGCTCATTGAGTCCAACCTCCCCTGGGATGGTTCCAGGATGAGGCATCAAACACCCCTTGAGGCAACCAGGGCAAAGGGTTCAGCACCCTCAGCCTCCAAAATTTCTTCCTCACAGTCTAAATCTTCCTCTTTTAAGTTCCAAACCCTCCCCCCTTGTCCTGCCCCACCAAGTTCTGCTCCAAAGTCCCTCCCCAGCTTTCTGCCAGGCCCCTGGAAGTCCTGGAAGGCCCCAAAAAGGGCTCCCTTGAGCCTTTCCCAGCCCAACTCTCTCCTGCTGGGCTCCCAGCAGAGGGATTCCAACCACTGGATCATCTCTGTGGCCCTTTTGTCCCTGCTCCAGCAGCTCCCTGGCTCTGCTGAGGACCCCAGAGCTGCCCCAGCACCACAGGGGGGGTCTCTCAGAGGGGCAGAACCCCCCTCTGGACACGACCAGCTCCTATCCAGCTCCTCACCCCCCAAATCCTCTCAATCCCTTCACCCCCAGCCTGGGCTGCTCGGGGTGTTGCCCCGACCTAGGTGCAAGATGTCCCACAGCAGCTCCTCCACGTGTCTCCTCCTTGCACCAGGGCTGGGGTAACGACCCCCCGGGGTGAGGAGCAGCTTCTTCCTCCCCATATTTTTCTCCCCAGAGGTGGAATTTCTCCCCCAGAGGTGGAATTTCTCCCCCAGAGGCTGCTCCCAACCCCACCTGAGTGATCTCGTTCTTGCGGATCTGGTGGAAGCTGAGCTGGGTCAGGTTGAGGATCTGTTTCGTGTTGTCCTTCACCTTCCAAGTGATCAGCAGGTCTGAGATCTCTGCAGGAGGAGGGGACAGATGTCTCCTAAAGCCCCCAGGGACCTCGGGAAGGTCTCGAGGGGGGGCTCCATCCTCCCACCTCCTGGTTTGGGTGGGCAGCATCTCCTCACGGTGAAGCTCTCGTCGCCGGATTTGAGCGTGCAGCCCTTGAGAACATCCAAGAGTTCCCTCAAGGTGGGAAATTCCCTGTCCCAACCTTCCAGCACGAAGCAATTCCCTTTCTTCTGGATTCTGAACTGCCTGTACTTGAAGCCTCCCTGTACCCCAGGAGCCTGAGGAGAAGAGTGGCCAGGTGAGGGATCAACTTGGTGCCTAAAGAGTGGAAAACTCCACTCAGGACCAACCCACCCCCCTTCTCCTGAAGCTCCACGGGGCTGGGACTTGAATTTTACCTGCTGGTGGCTCCTCTTGAGCACGGAGAGGATCATCCTGTCAAAGTCCAAGAGGCTCCACCGGAGGATGTAGAGCCCTTCCTCCTCCTCCTCCTCCTCCCGCCGCAGCTTGGCCAGCACGAACTCCTCCCTGCCGAGCAGAGAGGAGAAAAAGCTTCCAACTGACCCCCTTTATGTCCTCCTGGCCACCTCCCTGAGGTCCCCAAGCCCCTTTTGACTCACTGCATGGGCCCGTGGATGCCGTTGAGGAGGCTCATGACCAGTCTTGGAGGGGCCACGTCGTGACACAGGTAGTGGCTGGAGTCGGCGGTGAGGCGGAAATATCCGTCCACCAGGGACACCAGGGAGAGGGCACAGGCAGGGGATGGGAGGAGAACCTCCTAAAAGAGGAAATTAGGAGATAAAAGAGGTCCCAAACCCCAGCCTAGATCGATTCTGGGCTCTCCCAGGTCCAAAAGAGAACCCAGCAGAGGTGTTGAGGGGCCTGGAGCGTCTCTCGGGGGGATGTTGGGGAGGTTCAGCTGGAGAGGAGAAGATTTAAGAGGGGATCTGATCAATGCTGGTTGATATCTCAAGGGTGGAGGGCAAGAACGTGGGGCCAGATGCTTCTCAGTGGTGCCCAGCAAGAGGAAAAGGTGCAACAGGCACCAACTGGAACCCAGGAGGTTCCATCTGAGAAACTTCTTGGCTTTGAGGCCACCTGCTCAGAGAGGTTGGGGAGTCTCCTTCTCTGGAGAGATCCCAAACCCTCCTGGAGACCACCCTGGGCACCCTGCTTTAGGAGAACCTGCAGGAGCATCACCTCTAGAGGTCCTTTTTACCCCTCACCATCCTGGGATCCTGTGAAACTCAACGTTTGGTGGCTTGATCCTGGGAAAATCTCCTCGTTTTCCCCACCGCTGCCTCTTCCCAGGTGGATAAGCTTCCAAAATGGATCCCAACCTTCCAAATGGTCAACAGAGACCCCAAAATCCACTCACCAGGCACTTATTGTCCTGCCTGTGGATGCTGACCCAAGAATCCTTGATGACAATGTGGGTGATCTCTCGAAAATCACAGAAATGGGACCACTTGGGTTCCTTGGGTTCCGTCGTCGGAGTCGAGCCCTTGGGTTCCAGCTCTTTGTTTCTGCTCTTCCTCCCAAAATAACCACGCTGGGGGAAGTTCTCAGGGCTCTGCAGAGAGGCAAAGAGATGCTTGGAAGCTGGGAAATGAGACTGGTAGGGTAGGGGGGTGGTTACTGGTCCAACTGGGATGAGTTAGGAAGGAGTTTGGGGTGGCTGGAGAACCTGAGGGGCAGCCCAGGGGGGAAAAGGGGAGGGAAAGATGGTGGGGGAGAATAATTTGGAGAGGATTTGGCTCTTCCTGAGCACCAACAACACCCAGTTTGGTTTGATGAGCCCAATTTAAGGGAGTGTTGATCTGCTGGAGGGTGGGAGGATCTACAGAGGGATCTGGCCAGGCTGGAGTTGATGGTCTGAGGCCCCAAGGGTGAAGGTCACCACAGCCAAAGATCCTGCACATGGATCACCCCCTGCAGGGCTCCAGGGTGGGGCAGAAGGGC